TCAGGGCGAGTGACAGCCGGGTTTTTCTTGAAGTTCACGAAACGCAGGTGGTCACATAACTGGTCTAGCTGCTGCTCGTTATACTTCTTACCAAAGAAATCACAAATGCGACAGGCCACGCTCTTCAGATCCTGCAATACAAAAAAATCATGCAGATCCAACGATCTTTGGCATGGAATCGTCAAATTCAATCGTGCAACTGTTATGGGCAGGCGTTTTACCACCAGACGCACAACTTGTTCGTCCCGTCATTTGATATCATAGAAAAAAAACTCACTCTACTGAGATGCTCGTAGAATATAAAGAGCATATTGGGGTGATAGCGCAGCGCCCATGCCTCCTTAACGTGTTCAAAATATGGACAGTAGACACCTGTCAATGAAAACAAATTAAAATTTAAAAAATCCCTGATACAAAACAGCGTGTTCCAAAAATCCAAAAAGTCAATAAATTCACCAGCTGACCAATCGGCGAGACCAATTTAATGAGCCCAAACACAATTACAGTTCTACTGTAGTTGAGGCGTAGGGTAGTCTGTCCTTGTTGCAGCATCGGGTTTCCATAGTGTACCAAATTTAAAGTCGATCGGACAATTGGAAGTAAAATAAACATTTATTTTATGACGTTAATCTCTACACTAACCGGGAATAGAGCTGATGATCTTTAAACACCTGAAAAGAATGTTCATCAAACATTGTAAGAACCACCAAGATTGAATTATCCTTGAAATTAAAATAATTGTTTGAGGTAGCTGGTGTCCATTTCGAGATTGACATCTTCAGCAGTCGCTATTACGCCTTTCAATACGCCATTTCCGAAAGGGTTGGATGAAGTTGTCGTGGTTGCTGCTGGTATTATTGGCACTATCTAACAGTGTCATCTATTCACTCATAACCGATGTAAAATATATTTTAAAATTAATATTAAGTATTTGTATGTATCGAAAATTAATAGTTAGGATTTCGATTATTATTTTAAAGATTTTAAATATTGTGCACTAAATGTTAACTTGCGTAAAGAAATAAATAAATAGATCAGTCCATTTGTTGAGAGCCGTAGCTCCGTCCGTCATCGTAATGCGAATGCGTCCGTACACGGCGCGCGGCGGACGTGCACACATAGAATAATAATAATAACGCACACACTCAACATAGCCCCGCACTAGGGAAACCCTGTGTGACGGGTGCCATGGACACACACATAGACAACCACAAATTACATCCAAACTCACGACAGAAATAAATGTAGGCCATACAAATATTTCTCTCGGCCCGGGAATCGAACCTGGGGCCTCTGCGTGGCAGTCCGGCATGGTAACCGTTCGGCCACGGAGGCAGTTAGAAGGCAGTAGAAGCAGCGCTGCTACCTTTATCAGGGCTCCGTAACTCGCTCAAAGTTACGCGATAATTGCCTACCACTGAGTGTACCGATGTCGGCACAAGCGGTCATACAAGTCTTTCATTCCGCTCCGCACGACTGCACACAGCGGGCAACGTTATTTTCACCTCTCAGGGTGTGTGCTTAGGTTACTTTTTCTTCGTAGTGAGCTACTGGTGTCATTAGTCAGATTTAGTAGGCTATGATAGCGTAGGTGTATGTTTGTATAGATCCATAGGTCGCTGGTTCATATCCGGCTCGAAGGACCAAAATGCATGGTTCTCTGAACGTCTAAGGTTGAAGTAATAGTTAAGTATGGTAGGATGTTGAGTTGACGTAAACCACAATTTCCATAATAAGTTGATGTATTAAGTAAAAATGTACAGTATAGTTTTGAATGCTTACCTGTGACCGATTGCTGGCGAAGCGAGTTTGTCAACTCTCTTGTATGACCATTCACACGTGCAATATTGTAGTTTGATAAGCTAGCAAAAATATTGTACGCTGCAAAAACCGTACAGTAGGTGTTTTCGATTTTGTATGAGAGTGATGTATCTGTTACGTAGTAACTGTTAAGTACTATGTGCTTTTGTATAGAGTAACCATACTTGTCTGTTAGACTTATGACTATATAATGATTACCTATTAGTGGTCCGAAATGACATTTTCCAGAAATATCGTTTGGTCGAAATTTCATAACCTCGAAAGGAATTTTGAGAGGAAAATGTTTTTTGTCTTAAACCTAACTTAATCGTTTCTTTGCGATAACATTCACCATATTCTGAAAGAACAACTGATTCGTTATAATTCGGTTTTCGACGTAATGAAAATTTGAACAAACGTTAATTCGGACGAAAAAATTTTCGACTTTGTGATAGGTTCCCTATATAATGCTTTATTTTTCGGTAAAATATAAATTCAACTTACGCAGGTTCGCAATGAACACTTCAAAGTATTCCTCGAATTTAACGTTTTCTTGAAGCCTACAAAGTTCTCTCTCCAGGTGATAGTTGGATAGTGCCACGTCTCTTGGATCCCGAGCTACGTAAACCACCTTACAGGTGTCCAGCAGGGTAGGTGGCAGCAGGGATAAAGGAATGTGAGTCATGACGAACTGGCTACTCAATTTTGGTGAATTTGACAGTTCGTTGAGAATTTCTGGTGCAAATCTGTAAGACATAAACGACGATTTGTTAGTTTTTCGCGATTGTTCAAAATTGAAAATGAAACTATTTTTTTTTCTGGTATCTTAATAGAAATATTTGTTTCTTCAAACTGACGGTTCGGACTCTTAGTATGGTGGACTGGGGAAACAAATATAGACGATATAGAATGGATAACAATAGTTTAATATCCAAAAATAATAAGAATATAAATTTTTATTGAATTGATATTCAATTATTTTTAGGTGAAATTACTCCACTAGTTTGTTATAATTATTAATACAAAGATCGAACACTCAGAAAAATTCCTTCGATCCGGCCGGATTCTAGGAAACTAGAGGAGTAATTTTAACATATAAATAATTGAATGTCAATTCAATAAAAATTTTAATGCAATGTATAGCGACGTCTCTAGCCTAGACTAGTAGCTGCAAAGGTATCTAACTGGGTGACGAAATATTATAGATTTCTCATAGATGGCGCTACGGCTAAAAAGTCGTTGAAAACCAAATACAAAGATACGACGCAAGCACATAGAAAAATTCGTGAGGTCCGCTCGTTCATTCCGTGGTTTAGTTGGTATAGCGACTGCTACGGTTTGCTAGAAGACGTTGGTTGGAATCCGGCCGGATCGAGGGAATTTGTTCTGAGTATTCGATTTTTGTATTAATAATTATAATAATAAGAATTTTATGCAAAAACAGAAACCGGTACAACTATGTACCAACCCACAAATTGGATCTCCAGGTAGCTAAGTTGTAGAGCCTGCATACACGGCGTACTTTTTATGGCGTGCGTTTTACGAGTGCGCTTTTATGACCCGTAGACTCAATAAAACGCAAATAAAAGTTTACTGGCCGTGACTGTGTGAATCTCGTTTGAATAGCGTTAACGCGTGTTTTAAAAATTACGCCGTGTGCACAGGCTCTGATATAAAAAAGTAAATGTACCACTATATGAACTTAACTTAATAATATCAACTTTCTATAGTAAAAAAAAACGTCAAGGTAGGTTTATTAGAAAGTGAATGGATATTGACATAAAGGTGAATTGGGAAAAACAACGTACGCCTTAAAAGAAATAAAGAAGTCAACTAATTTACAAACTGCCCTCAGTGCTTGGCAAAATAATGTGGGTGCAACTGTAAATGACCTCTTTATCAAACAAAAAGAGTGCGTCAGAATACTAGCAAATATACCAAGAACAGAGAGCTGTGAACAATTTTTTTGAAATCATGAAATTAGAGTTGGAGCATCTATTTATTTTTTGAAAAACTTGCAAGTTTATAAAAAGGTATCAAAATCGCCGTAATAGGTATCGCCATCAAAATTAAAAGTGCGAATCGAACCCCTATGCAATGTCAATAAAAATAAACAACAAACTGCCCGAGCATATAAAACAAGAAAGTAAAGCGAATATATTCATTAATAACTTAAAAAACATACTCACTAATAAAAGTTTTATATGCACTACAACAGTGTTTAGACGATACATTTCTCTAACGTCGATTTCCGGTAGATATTGCTGGTAATAGCGGCCATATTATTGAGGCTGCTTTTGTCAAATCTGTTATTTATTTTTCATTCCTCTAAAGACAAATCACCACGGCAAGTTACACCGTCGTGCAACACGTGCAAATGATACAGAAATATATACATGCGATGCATTTATAAATAATTGAATGAGCTGTGGCAGGATAGTCAAAAACAAATCCTCTTGCACACTTACTCCAAATGTGGAAATCTCACATGGAGCGGTACGTTCTTAGCTGTAGCGAAGTCGAAGTCATTAGCAATCAGCCACACCAGTTCTTGTGTCCATGTTGTTCCTGAAACTCGGATAACAAAACTGATGATATCCATGTACAAACCTACTAAAAATGACCATGCGTCAAAAGTGCTTTTATGAAACGGAAGTTTTTAAAATATACAAAGTACATGAAACAAATTAGGTACCTATAATATATTATGTGAAATTTTATAACGCACGTATAAGCCATAGTAAGTAGAATTTTTCTTAAAAGTTAAGTTAACATTAAGAGCGACACCACACGACACCTGAGCGCTGACACAGCGTTGTTCTACATATCGACTGTGTACTGGCAACCGGTACTATCTCAATTTTGACAACTGTTGAGAATCAAAATTGAGATAGTACAAGTGAAGAAAAAACCACGTTGGGCACAATCGGCCGACCGCCACTCGAGTGTGCTCCGAAGGTCACCGAACGAGTGAGAACGAGTAGCCGATGCGCTATAAAAATGAAGTATTAACAAAAAAAAAAGTAGTTGACTCGTTGTGGGAGTAACTCGAATCGCCATTCGCTAACCGCATTACTTGAATTGAAATCATAGCGTTGCTATGACGCAATGCACTGGGAGCGCCCGTGTGGTATCGCTCTTAGGGTGCGAATTTTGCAGATTGTCAAACATTTTACGCGGAAGGTAACTGTTTCATACTTTTTATCAATTAGAAGAAACTACACCTAAGATTGACAACATATAAAATTCAAAGTGCATTACTAGCACTCACAACATTCATTTTTGGTACAAAAAGGGTAAGCCTCAATTTGAGTTCCGATAAGTCGTGAATTGCACCGCTTGCTGAGCGTCCTTGGATAGGCTGTCTTTACCATAAAGCTCATAAGGTCTTTAGACAGAACGTAATATGAATAGTGTGTTCTTGGATACATGTTTTGAGTAGAATGATGGATGTTTTTGGGTAGAATGGTCTTTGATAGTGTTCTTAGACAGGGTGCCCCTAGATAAGTTGCCCTCAATGATGCAGAGGCCGACAAAAATTCGGTTAGTGTGTAAATTACTGCGTTTCGGTTTTGAAGGGTAAGGGTGCTGGTGAAATTACAGGCACATGGGACTTGTCAACTTATGTCGCAGGGTGACGGACACGGTGGTAGTGTCCAACAGATCTTTGTTTTGTAAAATTTTGAGTGGCTGAGAAGTGTTAGGGTGCGTTTATTCGACACGAATCTCATCGGGTAAACAGCCGCGCAGCGTACGCGCGGCTGCCGCCCGGTCGCCGCGCATCTCACTGTCATGGCGAAATACGCCCTATTTATTTAGCATTTACGTTTTAACTTAAATGGGCGACGGCGCGGTTGTATTATTCAAATGTCGTTGCCTAGTAGGTAAATATATAATTCAGATTCGCCAGTAACGTACGTGGAAGCATGGCAACTGGGCGGTCACTGCGCGGCGGCCGCGCGAAAACTTTCGCGTCGTGTAACTGGGCGCTTATGGGTATACATCAGTTGGTGGCATAAAAAAAACGCAGCACAATTTACCTGAACGAGGAAATGAATTAACGATGATATTCGAGCTGCACAGTTTCATGTTGTAAATATTTGCAGCATCTTTCTCGTACCTCATCACTGTGTACTTCTTTGGACCGACGCGTGAGAAGTCGTCGAAAAATTCTGAAGCTGATATTTTTAGAAATTTATAAAATTGCTAATTACAGTGAATACATTTGCGTATCACAATTTGTCACGCATTAACAATGGAATTACGAAATCGTGTTCTTAGACTCGATTTACATTGCTGTTAAATAGAACATTACGTTACGTGCCTACTATATAATTATCTCATTACAGAGTACTAAAAAAACCGACCTCAAAAGTCATTCATCCCCTAGTTTGCCACACTTAAAGGTAGAACATATTTTTCAAATTTAAATGGGACCACTCCTCAGGTACCCTGTTTCCAACAAAAAAAATCATAAATTTCGGTTCACAAATGCCAATTGCAAATTGAGAACTACTTTTTTTTGAAGTCGGTTAAAAATGAAAAAACTTTCGTAAGTAATTATTGAGTATATAATTTGAAAAACTTTTGAAATAGTCTCAGAAGTCTTGTTTTTCCGGTACTTTCGAGATCGCACCGAGTCTCAACTTGTTTTCCGGGACGCGGAAATGCTGCGAAACTGGAAACCCTAATTGCACTTATATAATTAATTTCCTAATATACTTACTAAATTGCTCATCGTTTGAAAATAATCGGCAAAACTAGGGAACGAGCGCTTCCTTTACACTGAGTTATTTTTTCTTACAACACAAAATTGGTAGTAGTTAGTCTAGTGCAGTAGAACTCCTCACGAAACTGTACTGCCACCTTACTTATTCCTGCCGCCTAGCAGTAATGTGAGCATTACTGCGTTCCGGTTTTAAAAGTAGGGGTGTATTGCTGGTAATTACAGACACATGGGATTGTCAACTTATGGGTGACGGGCGCAGTGGCGGTGCCCCTCAGATCTTTGCGATTTAGAGCTCTGAGAGTCGTATTCTAGAACTCTACTTAGTCTTAATGCTCAAGTCAGGATTGCACTGGGAACACAAGCACTGGAGATACGACCCTAATGGCAGGGGCTTGAGTATGATTTCGAGTGCTTTAAACCATACTCAAATCCTGACTTGAGCTTTGAGTAGAGTTCTGGAATACGATCCTCAATGGTCCTGTAATTATTTTATTATTCTCTAGCCAGCCATCAGGCGCACGGGTTGTTCCTTTTTTCACTTGGTATCAAATAAAATAAAAAAAATACTAACTTTTATAGACTTTTTCATGTTCCATTTGTTCTTCTTTGGTAAATGTCTTTATTTCTAAAGGAAATTTCGCACTCATGGTATCTGTGGTACAAACAAGTGGAAACGAGATGCTTTTTAAACAAAATTAGACTGCGTATTTACGGCTACTAGAATTACAAATTTTAAATTATGTACAATTTGCTACGTAGAGCAATCTGGTTTTATAGCTTGATTTGCCCTGGTGATATCATTAGTCATATTTTGCAGGTTATTTATGTCCAATTAAGCAAGAACTAATTATAAAAAATAAAGTTTTTAAAACGATAATGATACTTTTTAAACCTACTTCAAATAAGGAGGAGGTTCTCAGTCCATCCGTATTTTTTTGTGTGGTAAGGCTACGGTTATTATGGATGCGAGTTCTGACGGAAATGTATTCTGGCAAATTCGTCCGAACAAACCAGCGTGTTTAAAACCAGAAATAGAGACGAAATGTCATTTAATTTGTTTATACACTATCCTATGACGGGTGTCGTCAATTATTTCACTTCAAATCGACCAGTTCAACTTGAGCTTTTCTGTAATGGACGAAAATTGAAAAATTACATAGTTAATATTCAATTACCGATGAAATGTGTTGATGATTTTTCTCATTGGACGAAGAACCTCAACATTGGTGACCTTATGTACTCACGATATGCCAAGCATACGTCTGTACAGCCACATCTCAAAAGACTCCACTTTTGAGCATAAAGCTGGAGTCAAGGTCCAACATTCCTACCAAACAAAAAAAAGATACTAAAGACATAACAGAGGACCAACCGCATGCGGACTTTTAAGGTTAAACTCATAGCACATCTGCGTTTTTTTTCATATAAGTTCATTGAGTTTCAAAATGGGTTTCAAGTTAAATAAAATTAGTCGATAACTTTTAAATGAGAGATTTTTTAAATTTATTCCATTAGCAGTAGAGCTCTTTGTGACAGAGTTCGTCCAGGGAAGTACTGCCACCTTATATATTCCTGCCGTCAAGTAGTATTGTGAGCATTACTGCGTTTTGGTTTTGAAGATAAGGGTGCTGGTGAAATTACAGGCACATGAGACTTGTCAACTTATGTCTCGGGGTGACGGGCGCAGTGGCTGTACGACTCAGATCTTTGTGATTTAAAGCTCTGAGTAGCACTGCAACTGCTATGGACAGGCGTGTCGCTTAAAAACAGGCGCACGATTTGTTCGTTCCGTCACTTAATATCATAAATACATCTTTTTATTAAAAAATACCAATCTCAAAAGTTCGTGGAATTTCAAATTCCATTTCTTTGCCACACACAAAAAAAAACGTAAAACATACAATGAAAAATCTAACATATAAATAGTAAATAAAAACACTAAACTATATCTATGGTTACTGATGTGTGACGAGGATTCGGAGCTCAGTATATGCTGTGCAAACTTAGTTTGCACGACACTGATTTTCAGCCAGAACCTCCCTGGCAGGAGCTACGGTTTCACGTTTGTGTAACATGCAATTTGTGGAACAAAAATAGTACAGACCTTGAATTAAGCTATAGAAGCGCGAAAGTAGAAAATAAAATAAAATAATAATAATCAAAGTCAAAGTCAAAGTCAAAGATTATTCCATATTCCATAGGTAAAATAAATTTACACTTGAAAACGTCACATTTAAGCTACTGCTCGTTCACTACGCTGACCTCCCTGAGAAGAACGAGCAAGAAACTCTAGGGATTGCTCTTTTCAAATAAACTTAAATGCTATGGAATACACTTTGAATCAAATTTGTGTGGATTCTGGAGCCATGTCGTCTTTCCATACATCTTTATCTAACACGTAGTCTTCAATTTTGTAATATGATTTTTCGATCAAAATATTTTTAATGTAGTTTCTAAACTTAGGAAATGATAAACTTAATATATGCTCCGGAATCTTATTGTAAAAACGTATACAGTTCCTCATAAAAGAGTTGTTTACCTTGGTTAAACGAAATCGTGGTACCATGAGTTTGGACTTAGCTCTAAGGTTAATATTATGGATATCTTCTTTCTTATTGAAATTATGTATATTTTTACGGGCATATAAAATATTTGAGTAAATGTACTGTGATGCCACAGTCATGATACCAGTCTCCTTAAACTTTTCTCTGAGAGATACCCGAGAGCCTAGACGGTACACAGAACGAATCGCTCGTTTTTGCAATACAAATATGGTTTGAATATCTGCCGCTTTACCCCACATGAGAATCCCGTAGGACATTATACTATGGAAGTAACTAAAGTAAACTAGCAGTACTAACATCGGTAAGCTCACGTATTCTGCGGATAATAATAATTTACACAATAAAAACCTATAGCGATTGTCAAATTTAGAAAGAATTACATCTATTTGCCAAGTATATAATAATTAACCTTAAATGGAACCAGTACTGGGGTACCCTCTTCCCAACAAAAAAGAATCATTAAAATCGGTTCACAAATGCCGGCGCAATCGCGCAACATATATACAAATACAGTCGAATTAAGAACCTCCTTTTTTTAAAGTCGGTTATAAAAAGAGAGTTATAAAATTTCACATAGGTATACATAATTTGTTTCATATAAAGGTAAAAGCACTTTTGACGTATTATCACATTTGGCTTATTAAAGAATTATTTTTGTAATTTTTTTTAAAAAGAAAATCCTTTTGAAAAAAAAAGACAAATGTCATGATCGTCTCCCCGTAAAATTCTATAATAAGATAATAAAGCACGGGCCCACCCACTTATTTTGGTCTGTGGGCCCACCCTTTGACAATCTGAGTCAGTTAGTACGTCAGCCAGCCATTCAAAGTAGGCGGCTTCAAAAAAGGTCACATGAATACGTGATGTTATACCTATATTCGTTGATGACTCTACCATCTGTTGAAATTAATGTCGTGGAACATTATATTTATCGCTGAACACTTCATTACTCGCTCTATATAATTAAGATTAGTTGTTTTTGCGGTGTTAATTTTATAAATAGAATGCCGAACAGTGTAGTAAGATGGCGCTGTGGTGTAGAAAACGGGTTATTTGCAATGTAATGTAATTTATATATTTTTTGTGAAAGCACTTTCTTCACCAGTTTGTTGATAAAATTGATACAGATATCGAACAAACTTACAGAAACAATTTGCACTAATACGGCAAAAAGCCGTTAAAATAAAAGAAACAAACATCTGTTTTTTTTATTTACATTAAGAACAATTGATTCTTTTTCATTATAAGTTTTATAAAAAAAAACACGAATGATGTACTTATCCCAACCTGACCGCGGAAACGAGGCAACAACGGTGTTATCGCTGTCTAAGACCATATTGTAAATGTTCCCCGCATGCTGCTCGTAGGTCGCCTTTAGTACGTATCGAGTAGGGCCCACAGATGAGTTCGCTTCTTCCACTGGAAAACATTACTTCATTATGCCATTAGGTTTATAATATTGGTAAAATTAGTGCACATCTGACTTATCAACTTATGTCTCAGGGTGACGGGCGCAGTGGCAGTGCATCTCCGATCTTTGCGATTAAAAAAAAAAGTAAGGTCCTGAGGGCCTACTATAAGCTTATAACCATCCAGCCAAGTTCCATGTAATTCACTTGACGTGGTAAAACTGAATTGCATAAATTCGTATCATGACTAGAGATGTGAAAAACTGCTTATTTTTTTAAAACCGTGCTTTTTAAAAGCTTTTTCACTTAAACGCTTTTTAGTTTGAAGCCAACAAAATCGTTTAGAAAACGTTTAAGCGCATAGACTTTTATGTTAAAAAAAGGTTGCAACGTTCTGTTGACAGCGAAACGCAAGAGTAGACCATGAATGTCGAAACATTTGATATTACGTGAACTAACTTAAGGTGGACAATATAAGGTACTGAAAATCTTTTTTTGACTGCTAGATGTCGCTCAACGTTAATAAACTGATAGTTGTAGACATCAGTCCAGTTCACAGGCCATATAAATACTAGTAACAGACTGGTTAGTGGGCGGGATCCGCGTTACCTAGCTTATGAACCTTAGACTATGGAAACTAAAGGACATGTTACGTTGACATATATAAATCAGACGTTAAGCAAAACTTAGAAAATACGCGACTTAAGCCAAAAGAGATAGCATTACATTGGTCTGTGTCAAACACGGGAATCAAAAATACGTAACGTCATCTTAAATGCCAACCGTGTCCATTTCACAGTACATGAGGTACATGATACCGCTGTGTAGGGAAGTACATCAAATGTCAAAACGAAAGTTTTTCCAAATGTATTATTGAATTATTCGCAACAAAAATATTGACAGTGAGAATAAGTAGGTATTAATAAAAATGCAACGCTGCAGTATTAAGGGATGTGGCTTTAGAAAAAGTGCAAATCAATCGAATGTTACATTGCACAGGCATGTGTTATTTTTTTGTCTATAAATCACACAATAGCCCAAATATTTCATGTAATTAGACTTATTTAAGTAGTTTATTTATAAATCTTGCCAAATTTTGTTTTGTTACTTTAGATTGCCTGTTAGTTTGTATATTTTGATTATTGTTGTTAACGATTATTTTGAGATGGTGTTGATCTTGTAAGCATACATATTATCGATATTCTGTTTTATTATTTTTATTATTTCAAGTTTTCCTACAAATGAAAAACGTAAGACAGAATGGTTGGAAATCATAGGACTGCCGAATATAAACGATGGATCAAAGACCATCTTCATTTTGAAGAGTCAAATTTTAACAGAACTTTGAATGTAACTAGATTACATGACAATGCTATTCCATCATTAGGTTTATTGGTAAATAATTTTATGATCAATTTAGATTAAGCAAGACTTATTTACTAGTTATTCTCAGTTCCTGAAAACAAAATCATTCACTATTTCTGATTTTTCCCAATGACAACTCTAACTATTAAAAATGACTATTTTTTTAAAGAATGCAATACAATGACATGTTAGTCCAACATTGCCGGGTAAATGCCAATACCAACGTATAGACAGCCTATTTGCCTTGCCTTGCCATCGTTAAAGTAAAGCAATTAAAGTAATTTTTATATTTTATTTAGTAAGTACAATTAATACAATGTAATGTTATATACCAGTTAAGTAGGTATAGGTAGGGCAATGTTGAGTGTGTGCGT